CTTTAGTTAAAAAAAAATGAAATAACACAGCCTCTGACACACTAGTCCTCCCACACTAGATAAATAGTCACTGCACTTGATGTTAGGGACTTGAAGGAGTGCCAACTTTGGACAATGTTTGGAATTTAATTAGCAGTCAAATGCAGGTAGATGTTATTCCAGTACTGGCTCTGGTTTGGCTCAGCTAGACCTTGGGTCAAGTATGCTGCACAAAATAATCCACAATGACAGGTGAGAATATTGGAATGTTGGTTAGTGTTTAATGGAGATGTTCTACTAAACATTTAAACATTGATAACTGTGATTACACAGAAATAGTGTATGACTGATGCACCAGTCAATAAAATCTTAGCTCATGAAATACAAACTGTGCCCTATTGTGCATTCCTTGGTTCATAGCGTCTTTTGGCCTCACAGCCAGCAGGGTAACATTTTGAAACCTCCCCCTCCCCCTTCCCTCTCCCCTCCCCTCTCATTCCTCTCTTTTATTATAAGCATCATCTAGATAATCTAGCGGCATCACCTCATCTTCTCATCTCAAGATCTCCAACTTCATAAGCATCTTCAGAATTCCTTTGGCATACAACGTAACCATTGAGAAATCTCACTGATTAAGACACAGACATCTTTAGGGGTAGGAGTAAGGGCAATTTTCTTCACACCAGAGAAGCATCTAGGCAAGTGAGCTCCTGGATGGCAAGATTTGTATCTTCATCTTTGTATCACCCCATGTAGGTATCACAGTAACCAGGTTGTAGTTGGAGAAGACACTGAGCAAATACATAATGATTGCTTCAGTAAAAATACTAGGTCCCTACTATGTGAAAGGTGCTCTTCCAGGTGATGGGAAATATAACAGAGAATTTTTTAAAAATCGTGTTCTCATCGTCCTTACCTATATTTTAGAGAAGTGAAGAGTGCGCAGAAAACAAGAAAAGTCATCTAGATGCAGGGATGTGGTGTCTCAAAGGAACTATGGAAGAAGGCTTTGCGTGAAAGGTGCCGTTTGACTGGAGACCACACAGAAACAGAAGAATATGCCAGAAAAGATTTCAGAGAGCAGAAATGAGAAGTGCCAAGGTTCTGAGGTTGGAGCAAGCCTGCGTTTTGAAACCTTTTAGGGAAGGACAGGGTGCCAATGAGATTTTACAGTGAGAAGTGCGGGTCAGAGAACAGAATGGCAGATTGCACTGTAGATTATAGTCATCAGTAAGGGTTTGGATTGGGGGGAGAGAGAGAGAGAGAGAGA